TCAAACAAAAATTTATAAAAAGAAAAAAAGAAAACTCTTCAAAAAGACCTCTTCAGATTCTTGAAATCTGAAGATTCAGTGCATTCNTAAAAGGTAAACATTGAGACTAGTCATGTTTAACGTGATAGACGAGGTCAAGGTCCACTAATTGACCTTTTCTATTAACCCCTTACCTTGACCTAAATTCACATGCACTTTGTCTTTTTTAACTCTTTCCAAGCCAACCTGCTTCACCAAATTTTCATCTTAATTTACAAGGTGCTATCCAAATTTTTTGTACGTTTGATGTACGTCCGTCTAGTCATAACATGTGTTTTATGATTATGTGATGGGCATTCTTAGGAGACGTTTTATCGGGGACGGGGACAGGGGGAATGGAGTTGGGTTTTGTAGGTTTTCACCTTCTCCCTCACTTGCCTTTGTCCCCGATTCCAAAGATAAAATTTGTTCCATTTCTGCCCTCGACCCAAATCTTTTTTTGGGATTATTTTCTCGATAAGATCGGGTTTTTTTGGGCATCCAACTAGGGGTGGACAGGTCTTGGTACCCGTCCAAATTCAAAGGAACCAAAACCAGAACTTGAAACATAGGTTCTGGTTCCAGTTCTCGGTACCTGGGTATATTTAATTACCCCTTACTTTTCAAACAATGACAAATAAACCCTCTAAAAATTACAATACACCCTCAATAATTTACAAAAATTATAATTCAGTCCTAATTCATATCTGGTTCCTACTCGGATCTCGATTCTGGTATCGGTTCTGGTTTCTGGTTCTTGTAGGAGTGGAATCGGAAACGGAACCGAAACCGACCAACTCCTAATTTCTAGAACCAAAACCTACCCTGTGAGGGTTGGTTTTGGGTAGGAATCAGAACTCGAATTGGAACTCCAGGTATCCGCTGGTTTCGGTTCCAATCGATTCTTTTACACACCCACATATCCAACCCTGTCAAGTTTTCTTTCATTCTTAACAATTAGTGTATATACGTCCATCTAACTACAATTATTTATATATAATCCTATTATAAATACTGTTTTTTTTTTTTAAATTTTATTCATTGATGATCTTTATCATCGGAAATTATAAGATCAATTATATATGTGATACAATTCTATAATAAATTTAGAATCTCGCCAACCCAAAAAAAGATACAATAAACTGTTCTACATATTCTTCGTTAATTTCTTCTCTCTTATGAAAAGAATTATAATAAAATTTATTACAAAAGAATAAATAAAATCAAACAAAAATTTTTAAAAATAATAAAAGAAACTCTTCAAAAAGACCTCTTCAGATTCTTGAAATCTGAAGATTCAGTGCATTCCAAACCAGCTCTATAAGGATTCATCAATTTCAGAAGCTGACTCGTTTTCTCCTTCGTTGAATCGTCGCAGCCACACTGTAAAAGCAACACCAGTTTCTGGAAAACTCCAACTTGCAGAGCTTCAAACAAGATTTTCCCTTCATTTTTCTTGTCAAATTTGCTCAGTTTCCAAATTGCAGAAACCGAAAACTCGGTTGCCAATTCCGAAACTCTCAGGATTTTCTTCACTAAAACCGGCACTGTTAATGCATTTTGATAGGCTTCTTCTCTCCCTTCTTTGCAAACGCCTAACCCTTCTCGCAAATGCTCTTTTCAGAATCGACTATCAATTCAGAAGCAACAAGACCAACCCTTTTCCCAAATGATGATTTTATCTTCTCATTTGGTGATGAAATCATGGCGAAATCACCATTAATGAAGCTTGGTGATCGTCCGGAAATCGGCTCTTCAATACTTCATTAAGTTTCATCCACTCCAGAGTCGATCATCACTTCTATTCTTGTTGATCAAAGATTGATTTCTTTCAACACTGAATCGCGTTTTGTTTTACCGAAGTCTTGGCTGTGCTTCATGAACCAAACCATGCAGCTAATGAAGCTTGCGAGGTTAAAAGCTTTAAGATTTATTGTTTGTCATCAAGCGCAGCATCCTTCAAAGCTGATAATATCTCTATTAACACATTGGAAAATCTTTCGAAAGCTTCAGGATTTTTTGCAAACGCATCGAAAGCTTCTGCAAGTACTTCACTCGCGCCATTAGCGACGATACAAAGCTTGTTTCGTTCACTTTCGAATCCCATTTCTGATTACGTTCAACGATCCACACCCCGCATGATCCAAATTCTTCACTGAAAAGTAATATTAAAAAGAATCTCCGAGACTTCGCCAGAAGTTACAGGAACTCTCGGAGTCGATCCGTTCAACGCCGTGGGTTCGATTCTCAACACACCAATCCTGAATCATTTTCCTGAGAGTAGGTTCGGAATCTGATCGAAACTCCTGAGAACCTGATTGGTTACAGGCAAGTAAAATTCCTGCGCCGAGCCAAGTTTCAATGTTATCCCGATCATAAGTTATCCGGAAGATAACGTCACAGGATCTTTCATGAGCTCGAGCGTTATCGGACACTGGAAATGATTCGGAATCACCAGCTCCGCCATTTCGATTTTGCTTCTTCTTCTTCCCGCCGCCTCTGGGCTTTCTTCTCAATCTCCAATCAAACAGTTTTCAAGAGAGAAAATTTAAACAAAAGATTTAAGGGTTGTATTCGTTTGGTTGATGGGTGTTTTTGAGTAAAAATAGAAGGGTGTTGGGGTGGGTTTATATTATAAGTTTACTGAAGTTTCAACAGTGGAAGGTTTTACAACGGTTTCCAAACTGAAGAACAGTTGAAGAGAGAAGCGTTCAAATTGAATAATATGAAGAAGAGTGAAAGGAGAAGGAGGGAGGCAGAAGAATTATTATTAATTATAAATTTTGATGTTAGAATTTGAATATTGACCGTTGAAGATTGATTAGATTGAATATTAAAAAGGTGTCCAGAAATGGGAAAATAAGAAATGGTAAAAGAAAGAAAAGATGGGATTATGAAACCAGCAAGTAAAGAAGAAAGATTTTGTTTTGTCAATTGACTTGAGCTTTTACGTGTTGAAAAACAAATAAATTTAAATATCTTTTGTAAATTTAAATATCTTTTGAACCAACCGACCATCTTAGCTTCCTGTATATTTTGCATGCATATATTTATAATATATGAATGAGTAAACAACATATTCCCACCCAAGGTTTGACGAAATCCAAAGTTAGTACTATTGGTTCCATTTATTTCAGATTCCTACCTTTAAAGTGACGGAAAAACGTTTGATATAATGGTAAAGGGGTAAATTGGTCATTTTACACGGACGACGCATGTTAGCAGACCACCGCCTCTAACAGTCCTCCGACGCACATTAGTAGTTGTTGTTCCCGACATTTTTCGCTCTTTTCCGGCGATTCTTCTACCCAAAATCACCCTTGTCACCACCATTTGAACCCCCATCCTCCCCTCTACAAAACCATACCATTCACAACCCCTCATCACTCGCCGATCTCCAGCCACAGTAACGAAAAACGGCCGATGAACACATGAACTCTCGGTCGGTGAATGAGGACGAAACGGTTGCTGCTAACATAAGGTTTTTATAGATTTGGGGACAATGGTTGCATTGGTGGTGTCCAATTGGATTTTCACCGCCGGAATCGACCGAAATCTGGTGAAGAACACCAAAACCCTAAGCCTAACGGTGCCGGCGATTGGAGGGTCAAATGAGTCGAGAACCAAAGGGGTTTTGGACGACAGACTATGGGGAAGGTGATGGAGGTGACCAGGGGGTTCAACGTCATCGAAAACAGCCCAGATTGGGCTGTTTCCGACGAGAGTGTATAGTGATCGAGGGTGTTTTTGATATAATTTGAAAATAAAATGGTAAGTTTTGTAATTCTACTAATTTATGGGTTAAAACATAATTTATTAATTTAGGGTTAAGGGCATTATGGTAATTACACCCGCTAAATCCTAAAAATTCATAATACTGTTACTTTAAGGGTGGGAATCTGGAATAAATGGAACCAATGGTACTAACTTGGGATTTCGTCAAACCTTGGGTGGGAATATGTCGTCTACTCTATATGAATTGTTCTTGGGTTAAAGTCTTGTTTATACTCATTAATTTAAACGAAGAGACTTACAAATATAACATTAAAATAACACAAATATAAGGAAAAATAAATAATCTCTTAATAATATATGGAAATTTCAATAAGAAAACCAAATTGAATAAGATTTCTAAACAAAGTAGGATTTATTATGGTGTAATCAGGGATTTTCCGAGATCACATATAAAGATTTAACAATAATTTAGGTAAATATTGATACAGTAAAGATGGACTCATAATTCAATCTTATAAACTCTCTCTCACAATCTCTAATTAACATCTCCCAGTTTTTTGTTGATGAATTTTGAATTTCGAGAAATTTATCAGCAAAAACCTGAGAGCGAGTTGTGAGAGAGAATTTGTAAAATTAAGTTATAAGTGTAGTATTACCCATATTATAAGGTGGGCTTAGGTATAAAAAAATATTACAAAGATATCTATACAAAGTGATGTGACAAAAACTGAATGAAAGAGTGAGTTTCATTGACTTTTTGTATTTACTCTTCCATTCATTTCCTGTCATATCACTTTGTATGGAAATCTTTATAATATTTCTTTGTACCTCTAATATATATATATATATATATATATATAAAACAACCTATCAAAGGCAAACTTCTAACAAATACAAAAAATCTAATTATGTTAATCTTTTTTATTAATTATAATTGCAGATAAATTGTAATTATAATGCATGATGATTGGGGTCTAACCATATAATTATTTTTGGTATTTGACATAACCCGCTTGTACATTTGTTAAGATCTCTAGGCAATGGTTTTGATTCAGTTTTTTGAAACGACGTCATTTTACAAATTGAAGGTCAAAGGATTATTTTTAAACCATTACCTAAAGTGATAACCAAATATTAATAACCATTTTGACTTTCAAAGTATGCATGTTAATTAAAAGTTCTATGAATAATCTAATTGAAATAACCAACAAAATTTCTTGGAACAAATCTAGAAAATTATTTTTTTTTTTAATTAAATATGGAGTCAAATTTAATTTCGTGCTGAGAACTGTAAAATTTACAAAATAATTGTAATAAAATGAAAACTAACTAAATAAAAAAAATAAAAGATAAAAAAGTGACTCAAAGTGCTGGCTTTATACTCTATACAGCTGAGAACCAGGACTGATTGATCTTCAAGCTGCCAAAATGATTTTCGTTCCTCTTCTGTCGCTCTCGTTAATCGTCGGAGGATGACAAAAAGCCAAAAAGCTGTCTCCTCTTTGTTAAGATTGTCAGCTTAGCTCGCCTTTTATATACAGAGATGAACATAGAATCAGAAATGAATTCATTCTTGCCTTATGTAAGGAGATGTACTCAACTCCAAGCTGTAAAGGGATTCCTCCCCAACTATTCCATACATATTGTCATTCTTCTCTTCCTCCCACTCAAGGACCTCCCGTGTGTACTTGAATGCCTGGTCGACTGTGGCACGCTCGTGCGACCGGGTCGGCCAAACAAACAATTTGCGGTGAGTTATCGAATAATATAGCTGCTTGAATTTCATGGCTACAAAGTAGTATGCGTGGTGTGCTAGGGCTTGATTATTGTTGTGGGGCTTCACAGGGCTAAATTCCTTGAACCACTCACAAGTAGACAATGGAACCTGGTTAATCTTGTCTTCGAAGGCGTCGTATTTGTTCAGCAAAAGCACGAATGGGGTGTCTATAAAACAAGGATGTCTAACAAGACTCTCAAACATGTCTCTGCTAGCCAGCATTTTGTTGTGAAGGGTATCCGTGCCATGCGTCGACATCTGGTCGTAATCGCTCAAAGCAATGCAGAATATCACACCACTCACATCTTCAAACATGTCCAGCCATTTACAACTATCATGTAGTCCCTTGGAATTTATGCGGATAAGTTGGTACCTGAAACAAAGGTAAATATTTCAGCAAACGCGAGATAATAGTTTCGAGATGCAGCAATGAAAACAAAAGATAAACAAAATTTAAAAATGAAATTATAAGCATCTGAAATATGAAAAAGCCTGAAAGTTTTACTTCGTCAAGGGAGATGATTCTAAATTCTCATGGTATAACTCTGACATGGGGCTTCTATCATCAAATGAAAATTCCATGAAGGCGAGACCATTCCCTTGAGTGACTCCTTCAGCATATAAAATGTCCTCCTCTGATGGTTCATATTCATTACTAGATATTTCAACAGCCTACAGGTAATAAAAGATCACCAATATCAGATTCCAGTGCTTGTGAATACTTTGAATCCCAAGATGGTATTTTTATTTTTATTTTTTAAGTAAAACTTGCCTCTTCCACAGAGAATAAAAAATTACACAGCACACCTGATCTAAGAAATATTTGGCCACATCAGGAAGATGTTGCAACTCCTCCCTTCTCTTGTATGTTTCCTGGAGGGCGGGATCCTTCCAAATCTCATCTACAACAGGTGCATACTCACGTGTTGCAGCAGGAAAGAATGCATCAAAATCACCAGTAGCCATGATATCCAGCAACCAGTCAGAAAAGTGCTTGATTCTTTGGTTTACTGAGTAGATACATTGCTTATTTTCCTCGACACCTGTTTCACCTGAATTTAGTTTCACAAAAACCACTTAGTAAGGCTTAATCATGCCAATGGGTAGAACACCTTCTGCTCACATGTTAAGAATTATCCCCTTTTATACCTTAAAATCTCCAAAACAAGTAGGACAGAATGAGAAGACAAAGTCTCTAGAAAGTCATGAACCGTGTATCAAGAATTATAGGTAAGAATCACATAGTTTGAAATCGAGTAATAAAAGTAAGTGGATAGTGCCAGTAAATAGTTAAAAAAAAAAAAAAAAAGAAGCAACATCTAAAGGTACAATAGAGATATTTTGTTTATACAGAGACAAGAAGAATTAAACAGCTACGTGTTAATTTGCTAAGCAACCTGCTGTCATTTAATGCAATACCCTATTACGAAGTTCTAACTAGGAAAAATATTCAACATCAACATATTATATCATGTGAGATTATGTACCATGGGAGCACCAAAATACATGTCATCACCATTAATGAAGCCTAGGAAGAATTCAAGCAAAAATGCAACAATGACATTTGGTCAAGCCAAAAAGATAAATCTACAAACAGCCACTGATGACTCAACTAGATAAAAGACAAATTTCATCCTAAAGGAAGCAATATAAGGTGATACCTGGGACGGACGCTTCAGCATCCAAAGTAATTTGTATTTCTAATAAAGCTTCCTCTTCAAACCTCTCTCGCCCCTCAAGTAATATGCTAAGATACTTGAACATATTACTTTGAATCATAAGCTTGATATCCTGTCGCTCTTCTGGAGTGAACTGGTTGCCATATAAGAATTTAGCCTGTTCCGTGTGAGAAGAAATGATATCCTTGTCATTCGAATAATTCAACAAAACTCAAGAAAATCTCCCAAAAATGGGATATATCTCATCTTTCGCCATTAAACCATACAGTATTCTTTGTTATTCAGGGGAAACTGGAAAGCTACAAATTGTAAGTAACAGTATGTGGTTTTTTCCCTTAAAATCCATCACATTTAACAACAGATCTGATATGGATCAAGATCACTAAAAACATGACTTGTATATCAGAAGAAAGAACGGTTATTGCATGCTAACTGACACATACGGCAAGATGCCCGTTCACTTTTAGGATTATGTAGAAATCTTAACAGACACAGCTAAGTTCACCTATGTATTGATGATATCAACATTAAATTAAAAAATTTATTGAACTATAGGAATTCCCCAACAAACCAAAATTGGTGAAAGTAAAATTCACAAGGAAAGATATGAATGACAACACATTATAGAGTAAGATGACTTTGATCCACAGAGGAACCAAGAATGTTGTAAAAAATACATGGTGAGAAATAAAACAATTTGAAAAACATAAAGATACCTGCTTGAAAATAGTGCTAGTTCCAGATCCTTCCAATCCAAATAACAAAAGTTTCTGGATGCTTCCCTGCTCAAAATACTCAGGTACCGACCTACCTGAGAAAGTACTTGGATCGTCGATTTGCCCCTGAGTATTTCCAGGTGGTACAGGCAATGAAAATAATGAGGAAATGAAACGAGTAGATGCCTGCCTACAAAAAAACCATAATGCAACAGTGTAAAAAATCAATTCAAACCTTTGTCAAAGTGAAAATATAAAAATAATCAACATGATCCACAGATCACGAGAGAACCTTTCCCCATATGTTCCCCTTAATGTTATTTTGACCTTCTTCCTCATAAGATCCATCATCATACACCCAAAAGTGAGTATCACAAGGACACTGTACGCCAGCCAGCTGAAATCAGTCAATAAAATAAGCTTTAATCTACAGAACAATATTATGCCAAGCAAAATAAAATCCATAGAGAGAAGGAAAAGGACAAAAAGGAAAAAAGGACCAATTGTCATAGAACACTTCAAGATCTAAAAGTACTAGTACTGAGAAAAAAAGTGTATTGGAAATATCATAACTCAGCTTTAGAAATGTTGTCACTGTGATATATGAATGATACATCAAACGTCAGAACTTTAACTAATAGTCATACAGTGTATCAATTCAGATAAAGATCACAAAGAAAGTAGAAAATCATGAACAATATATCGAAAAAGAAAGGGCAAAAAGAGCTACTGCAGAGATGAGAACAAAGTTTCCAAAATAAGTCCGTTGCAGAATTCAAAAGTTCCTTTCAAAAATTGGAAAGAAAATAGTTGTTTTGTTAAATATGGGGAGTATCTTGTAATTTTGGAGTTCTCATCTCCAGGGTACAGCTGCTTTAATTTTTATCATTGATGTTAGATTTTTTATTTTCTTTTCGGTTCTCAATCTATGGCTGGAACCCTTAATCTCCCAGCCCTGGTGTTATCCCACACATTTAGTTTGCAGCCTACGGATACTTAAATCTTGCAGGGTACTTGACTGCTAAAATTTAGATGAACTCTCAACATTTATGTAGTTCTGTGTCCTTCACATTTATGTAACCTCATTTAAGATAATATCACCAGGTTATATTGCAAAAACTTTAGTGCTTTTATATGCCATACTACTTGTATGTGCAATGGATTCACCCCTCAATTCCATTTATAAGACCTTAGTAAGCGATTCCTAGAAACCCTAGTGTGAGACTAATTTATCTACCATCTCTTCTTATATTTTCTTTCTACTGATTTATTTATTTATCAAATTTCAAATAATCTGCTATTCCTTTTATTTTCTTAAGCGCCACTGTAATTGAAACAATAGCTTGATCGTATTTTCATGATCTTGTCTATAAGCTATAAGACAAAAGGAAATATGAGAAAAGCATGTTAGTTTATGCTATTGAATATCATGCAGACTCTAAAGCTTCTTCCAACATTAAATGCACTACATACTAAATAAATCATTAGCGCCGAAGATATACAGACAACAAATATATGGCCATAAATAGTTAATATATATATATGTTCTAACAGCTTTTTAAGTACTTTGGTGCTTTAGATACCGTTGCATACAGTTTAAAATATGGTATAACTGCCACTAATCTGGACCGATTGCCACAAGCACAATTATATGTCACTCTCCCTAATTAATAACAATGAGAATTTCAATTCAGCCAAAAACATTAGATCTTTTTTTTACATTTCTGGTGGCAAATATTTGTTGATGGAAACAAAAAAAACAGTACCCTTAAAACTTTGAGCTCAGTCCTGTTGATTTCTCGACCATTTATGTAAACCTTGGTGTTTCCATTGCTAGCGTCCTGCTGAAGCTTACCCCCAACATTCAACTTTGAAGTGATTATCTTATCAGGCTTCTCTCCCTCCTGAAATTGAACACCAACCCACATAAAATTCAACCAAAAATATAAAGAACATGTAATTCATATAAGAAAAGCAAAACTGAGATATTCACCTTTCCCCAAAGGCCAGAATCTTTATCATACCAATACTTGCCCGGCTTCAACTTCTGAGGAGGATTAGGACAACCCAAAAGTTCAGCTAATTCATCTTGGTTCAACTGCCGACCATTTACAAGCAACTGCTCAGGTCTAAGCTGATTCGAAGCACATTCCTTCTCCGCCTTCATTATCTGCTTAACCTCCAAAGGACTACAAACTTTCGACAAAATCCTCGAAGGCTTTCCCAAAATCGATCTCTTCGATTCATCTATAGCCTTCCCAATACAATTAACACATTTCCTCCCTTCTGGCATCGATCCCATTGCTTTAATCAAGCAATTATTACAATACTTCGCATCACAAACCAAACAGGCCTCTCTCTCCTTCAAACGACTGCGTTTCGAACACCTATTACAAACCCCTCCCCTCTTCTTCTTCCAAACAACCTTACTCTCCTTTGACTCATTCACCTCCTCTTCTTTCACATCCTCACAATCATCACCACCGCCAGAAAGCGGCGAAGAAAAATCATTAATCGAAATGTCGCCGTTTGTACAATCACGCGATTGCAATCCATCATCATCATTAGGAAATTTGACTTTGAGATTGAGATCAGTAAGCGAAGGTCTATTAAATCTAGAAAGTTTTCGAGTAATCTTGGGAAGCGAAAGAGGATTAAGATTAACAGGGTCAACTCTAGGAATATTGTTAAAAGGAAGAGGAGGACCTTCGTATTCGACGGCGATGGAGAAATCGAGTTGCTCTTCGTCTGGTAATGGCGCGCCTTCCGGTAACATTCTTCTCAGAACTTCCTCCCAAGTCTTCTCTTCTTCTTCTCCGGCTTTGGCCATTTCTGACTTCTTCTTCTTTCTTCTTTGTTGTTTGTATTCAGAGCGGAGGTTTGGAGTTTGGAGAGCAAAAGCGGTTTCAGTTCTACACTTCAAAAATGCTTTCAAAAATTTGTACACGTGGAGATGAGCGCTAGAAGTGGTTTTTTTCCTTTTTGCGAAAACTACTTTAACTACTCCGTGGAAAAAAATATATTTATTAATTTATTTTATAATAATATAAATAAAGTAGGGTGGTTTAAGAGTCTTTGTCACCTACAAAATTTAAGCTTTGAATTATCAGATGTTCAGACCAATATTCGAAGAGAATTATGTGCCTATCGCATTATCTCTAATTTACTCTAACTAGATGAATTACCTGTATATGGGTAATGTTTTCATATCAAAACATATAATCTTTATACTCAATATTATATTTTTGAATTCTTTTTATGTTAGAAAAGAAATTATTAAAGATAAAAACGAGAAAGAATTTTAATTATTAATGTAGAAACTAGGGTGAACTCATAAAAGAAGAGAATTTTAATTTTTTTTTTTTTTTTTTTTAAATTCTCTTATTACCATTATCATTTGTATATACAAAGAAGAATTTGAGCCTGAGATGAAATATCAGTTTTTGCTTAATTTGATTATATATAATAAAATAAATAAAAAAGCCATCAATTACTCAATATACTACATATGAATTATTTCAAATAAATATAACGTTGAAATAAATCAAAATCCTGTAAATTTCGTTCTGGAAACAAGAAGTCCTCTTTCCATAGTTGAAGCTTGAAGCATGAATATTACGGGGGAATGTTAGAGCCTTTGAGGAGGAATAAGAGAATAGAATCACCTAAAATTATCAAGAATGGAATTCGCGGTAGAGAAACTAAGGACTAACTCCAATAGTGTATTTGATAATTTTCAGTAGAATGTAAAATTCGTCAGTAGGACGGCAACACGTGCACTGATCCAATCGCAGGTGGCTGACATGCCGGAATCACAGAAGAGTGTCTCTCAATAGAAGCATCACCATCGCATGTAGCTTACACGTGTCTCATGATCACTAAAGACTTTCTCTCAATAGAAAGCGATGCTATACAACAGCTTCCGTCGATGTTGTTTCTCAAATGCAGCTACAATGTCATCAATGGATTCCTCCCAATTTTCAGTTTTTTCAATCTATACATAAACCATTGACAGTACATAAATGTTATGAATGATACACTGTAGGTAAATGTGAAAAACAACAGGATACAGAATACAGACCTCTTGGCAGAGATCTAAAGTGAGTCGGCCGCCTACGGCTGCTTCCTCGTGATTATCTTTCACCTCCAAGTTGATCACCAGCACACTTTTCATAAGAACCTGTTCCCTGTTGTGGAGATCTGCACATCATTATAATAGCCATATAAGCGACAAATCGGAAATCAATAGTTTTTTTTCACAGCAGCAAACAGATTTAAAACATTACTGTTTTTATGAAAACTCTATGGCGTTTCATAATCATCAAAATGACTTAGATGCCAAAATGCTCCTAATTATTTGCGCTAAAATGCCATTAAAAAAATCAGGGTCTTTTTTATGACAAGTCCGTTCAGTACTGGATTTCCTTTCCTCCAAAGACCTCATAGACAGGCAAATATTTTCAGATTCTTGCACAGCTTCCATCTCAAGAAGTCAGCTAGGATATCTTGCACTATGATCCACATAACCGAAGGCATAAAGAAACATGTAACAACTTATTTTACTCGTGATTGTGAGGTTAGATTGCCCAACATTAAAGAGTGGCAATCAGCCCAAATCATATAGCACGAGAGTTTCAAAGCTTATCTGCAAGAGTGGTCTCAATCATGAACTGCCAAACCAATAAAAAAGGTATGAAGACTCATGAATGTCCTATAGCTATCTTATCTTATCCCTTAAATGGAATCTAGATTTATATAATAAGCAAATAAATCCTAAAACAAAAACTCATATTGACCACTAAATTATCGATACAACTAGAACTAATTCATCAAAGCACAAGAAAAAATAATAAAAACTCAATATATAGATACAACAGCAGGAAAGAAATAGGAAAGTGTCTATGCCAACCTTCCAGAACCATATCAAAGACCTTTTCTTCAAATGAAAACACAATATCGAAGGAACCATCAAGAGCATTATCTTGCCAACGTTGAGGTGCCAGCTTCACAGATGAATTTCTCTTAAGCATAGGCAAAATACCATTACGCTTGTACCTATTCATCTCTTGTTAAGGTTATACTTCTTTAGCTTCAAATTCAAATGAATATCCATTTACAGTTAAAACACAGAAAGATGCCACTGGTTTTGAAATACGTTAAAAAACCTCAACTACAATTATGAAAATCATGAAAAAATGCTAAAAAGCACCAAAAACATTCCAAAAGTTACATAAGAATTTTGTTAAAAATCTCCTGCAATGAAGACAGTTCCTCCCACTTCAAAAAACTTAAGTACTGTACACTAAAAAATTAGTTCATTGAACTTCAAAATATTGAACCAATCCAACCCAGATACCAGAATAACCTTCAATTTTTTTTTTAAAAAAAGAAGGAATTTGAAAGAAGATAGATAAGTAAAATGAATTGAACAAAAGGATACAGTTCTGGATCTTTGCGGCGGAGATCATCAAACATCTGCTTGTACGGGGTTCCAAAGTCATAGACGTTAGGTTCTCTGAGTGAAGGTCCCGGAAGCTTAACATGAGCCCCAGTCCCATACGATGACACATCAAAGCCCTGTCTCTTGAGGAGCGAGTGAGCCTCCATGCTTCGGTTCTGGTTAGACGAGCATACCATAGCATACCGAAACTTCATGGTGCCTGCAATCTCTTATCCCAAGGTTCTCAACCTTATTATTCAATCACTGACTACTCACTGGCATTGCCTTCTCTCCAATCTGTCAATCCAAATTGTTTTTCAAGTTATTGTTCCTTTAATTGCAAACCTAAAATTTATAGGGACGGCGAAAGGTTAAACTGGTTAATTTGGCTTCACTCGCCACTTGGTTTTCCTGTTGGTTAGAACTGAGCAATTGATGTGTAGAGCTTCATTGGTTTCAAGCAGGAATGGCAAATTCCGCGGCCGAAACCATGTATGACATACAAATTAAATTTCATTTAGAACTATCTACATAAATATGTTCAACTTGAGTTCATCCTTTGAAATGCTAGCAAACAAGCAATAAATTTCTTCATCAAAATGAAAAACCAATTGCATAATATCCTATAATTAGAGAAATCCAAACAAATTTCATAAATTCTGATAACTCATGAAAATTAATGAGTAAACATCACTCGAGTTTATCCATATACAACAAAAAAAAGTGACCAAATGAATATATACATTTTTTTATTTTAAAAAATAAAAACTGAAAAGGGAAACAATATAATTAACCTGTTGAAACTTGAACTGGCAGTTGCTGGAGCAAGAGGATGGAATAAACCGCCGGAAATCTCGCCGGCGTCTCGTCTGAGGTTGCAGCGGCTTTCTTAAACGCAGGTGGCGCTCGGACTTTCGTGGTGGCTCGCCGGCTTCCTTCAGTCGGCGGTCAGATTGGTTGTCGGCAGCTGCAGTTGAATGACCCGTGCAGTTTAGTCGACTCAGGTAAATAGTTTCTGAATGACAAAAAGAGCACCCTAAAGTTTTCCTTGATTACAAAGAGGTTCTAACTTATGATTTTTTCATAAATTACCCCTGCAATTATTTATAACCCCGTATCCTCCAATGCAATGCCAGGTAAGCTGGATTCGAAGCACATTCCTTCTCGCCTTCATTATCTGCTTAACCTCCAAAGGACTACAAACTTTCGACCAAATCCTCGAAGGCTTTCCCAAAATCGATCTCTTCGATTCATCTATAGCCTTCAATACAATTAACACATTTCTCCTTCTGGCATCGATCCCATTGCTTAATCAAGCATATTACAATACTTCGCATCACAAACCAAACAGGCCTCTCTTCCTTCAAACGACTGCGTTTCGAACACATTACAAACCCTCCCCTCTTCCTTCCAACAACCTTACTCTCCTTTGATCATTCACCTCCTCTTCTTTCACATCCTCACAATCATCACCACCGCCAGAAAGCGGCGAAGAAAAATCATTAATCGAAATGTCGCCGTTGTAAATCACGCGATTGCAATCCATCATCATCATTAGGAAATTTGACTTTGAGATTGAGATCAGTAAGCGAAGGTCTATTAAATCTAGAAAGTTTTCGAGTAATCTTGGGAAGCGAAAGAGGATTAAGATTAACAGGGTCAACTCTAGGAATATTTAAAAGGAAGAGGAGGACCTTCGTATCGACGGCGATGGAGAAATCGAGTTGCTCTTCGTCTGGTAATGGCGCGCCTTCCGGTAACATTCTTCTCAGAACTTCCTCCAAGTCTTCTTCTTTCTTCTCCGGCTTTGGCCATTTCTGACTTCTTCTTCTTTCTTCTTGTTGTTTGTATTAGAGCGGAGGTTTGGAGTTTGGAGAGCAAAAGCGTTTCAGTTCTACACTTCAAAAATGCCTTCAAAAATTTGTACACGTGGAGATGAGCGCTAGAAGTGTTTTTTTCCTTTTTGCGAAAACTACTTTAACTACTCGTGGGAAAAAATATATTTATTAATTTATTTATATAATATAAATAAGTAGGGGGTGGTTAAGAGTCTTTGTCACCTACAAAATTTAAGCTTTGAATTATCAGATGTTCAGACCAATATTCGAAGAGAATTATGTGCCTATCGCATTATCTCTAATTTACTCTAACTAGATGAATTACCTGTATATGGGTAATTTTTCATATCAAAACATATAATCTTTATACTCAAATTATATTTTTGAATTCTTATGTTAGAAAAGAAATTATTAAAGATAAAAACGAGAAAGAATTTTAATTATTAATGTAGAAACTAGGGTGAACTCATAAAAGAAGAGAATTTTAATTTTTTTTTTTTTTTTTTAAATTCTCTTATTACCATTATCATTGTATATACAAAGAAGAATTTGAGCTGAGATGAAATATCAGTTTTTGCTTAATTTATTTATTATAATAAAATAAATAAAAAAGCCATCAATTACTCAATATACTACATATGAATTATTCAAATAAATATAACGTTGAATAAATCAAAATCCTGTAAATTTCGTTCTGGAAACAAGAAGTCTCTTTCCATAGTTGAAGCTTGAAGCATGAATATTACCGGGGAAGTGTAGAGCCTTTGAGGAGGAATAAGAGAATAGAATCACCTAAAATTATCAAGAATGGAATTCGCGGTAGAGAAAAAGGACTAACTCCAATAGTGGATTGATAATTTTCAGTAGAATGTAAAATTCGTCAGTAGGACGGCAACACTGCACTGATCCAATCGCAGGTGGCTGACATGCCGGAATCACAGAAGAGTGTCTCTCAATAGAAGCATCCCATCGCATGGGCTTACACGTGTCTCATGATCACTAAAGACTTCTCCAATAGAAAGCGATGCTATACAACAGCTTCCGTCGATGTTGTTTCTCAAATGCAGCTACAATGTCATCAATGGATTCCTCCCAATTTTCAGTTTTTTCAATCTATACATAAACCATTGACTAATAAATGTTATGAATATACACTGTAGGTAAATGTGAAAAAACCACATTTAACAACAGATCCGATATGGATCAAGATCACTAAAAACATGACTTGTATATCAGAAGAAAGAACGGTTATTGCATGCTAACTGACACATACGGCAAGATGCCAGTTCACTTTTAAGATTATGTAGAAATCTTAACAGACACAGCTAAGTTCACCTATGTATTGATGATATCAACATTAAATTAAAAAATTTATTGAACTATAGGAATATGCCTCTGCTGAAGCCCCCAACAAACCAAAATTGGTGAAAGTAAAATTCACAAGGAAAGATATGAATGACAACACATTATAGAGTAAGATGACTTTGATCCACAGAGGAACCAAGAATGTTGTAAAAAATACATGGTGAGAAATAAAACAATTTGAAAAACATAAAGATACCTGCTTGAAGATAGTGCTAGTTCCGGATCCTTCCAATCCAAATAACAAAAGTTTCTGGATGCTTCCCTGCTCAAAATACTCAGGTACCGACCTACCTGAGAAAGTACTTGGATCGTCGATTTGCCCCTGAGTATTTCCAGGTGGTACAGGCAATGAAAATAATGAGGAAATGAAACGAGTAGATGCCTGCCTACAAAAAAACCATAATGCAACAGTGTAAAAAATCAATTCAAACCTTTGTCAAAGTGAAAATATAAAAATAATCAACATGATCCACAGATCACGAGAGAACCTTTCCCCATATGTTCCCCTTAATGTTATTTTGACCTTCTTCCTCATAAGATCCATCATCATACACCCAAAAGTGAGTATCACGAGGACACTGTACGCCAGCCAGCTGAAATCAGTCAATAAAATAAGCTTTAATATACAGAACAATATTATGCCAAGCAAAATAAAATCCATAGAGAGAAGGAAAAGGACAAAAAGGAAAAAAGGACCTATTGTCATAGAACACTTCAAGATCTAAAAGTACTAGAAATGAGAAAAAAAGTGTATTGGAAATATCATAACTCAGCTTTAGAAATGTTGTCACTGTGATATATGAATGATACATCAAACGCCAGAACTTTAACTAATAGTCATACAGTGTATCAGTTCAGATAAAGATCACAAAGAAAGTAGAAAATCATGAACAATATATCGAAAAAGAAAGGGCAAAAAGAGCTACTGCAGAGATGAGAACAAAGTTTCCAAAATAAGTCCGTTGCAGAATTCAAAAGTTCCTTTCAAAAATTGGAAAGAAAATAGTTGTTTTGTTAAATATGGGGAGTATCTTGTAATTTTGGAGTTCTCATCTCCAGGGTACAGCTGCTTTAATTTTTATCATTGATGTTAGATTTTTTATTTTCTTTTCGGTTCTCAATCTATGGCTGGAACCCTTAATCTCCCAGCCCTGGTGTTATCCCACACATTTAGTTTGCAGCCTACGGATACTTAAATCTTGCAGGGTACTTGACTGCTAAAATTTAGATGAACTCTCAACATTTATGTAGTTCTGTGTCCTTCACATTTATGTAACCTCATTTAAGATAATATCACCAGGTTATATTGCAAAAACTTTAGTGCTTTTATATGCCATACTACTTGTATGTGCAATGGATTCACCCCTCAATTCCATTTATAAGACCTTAGTAAGTGATTCCTAGAAACCCTAGTGTGAGACTAATTTATCTACCATCTCTTCTTATATTTTCTTTCTACTGATTTATTTATTTATCAAATTTCAAATAATCTGCTATTTCTTTTATTTTCTTAAGCGCCACTGTAATTGAAACAATAGCTTGATCGTATTTTCATGATCTTGTCTATAAGCTATAAGACAAAAGGAAATATGAGAAAAGCATGTTAGTTTATGCTATTGAATATCATGCAGACTCTAAAGCTTCTTCCAACATAAAATGCACTACATACTAAATAAATCATTAGCGCCGAAGATATACAGACAACTAATATATGGCCATAAATAGTTAATATATATATATGTTCTAACAGCTTTTTAAGTACTTTGGTGCTTTAGATACCGTTGCATACAGTTTAAAATATGGTATAACTGCCACTAATCTGGACCGATTGCCACAAGCACAATTATATGTCACTCTCCCTAATTAATAACAATGAGAATTTCAATTCAGCCAAAAACATTAGATCTTTTTTTTACATTTCTGGTGGCAAATATTTGTTGATGGAAACAAAAAAAACAGTACCCTTAAAACTTTGAGCTCAGTCCTGTTGATTTCTCGACCATTTATGTAAACCTTGGTGTTTCCATTGCTAGCGTCCTGCTGAAGCTTACCCCCAACATTCAACTTTGAAGTGATTATCTTATCAGGCTTCTCTCCCTCCTGAAATTGAACACCAACCCACATAAAATTCAACCAAAAATATAAAGAACATGTAATTCATATAAGAAAAGCAAAACTGAGATATTCACCTTTCCCCAAAGGCCAGAATCTTTATCATACCAATACTTGCCCGGCTTCAACTTCTGAGGAGGATTAGGACAACCCAAAAGTTCAGCTAATTCATCTTGGTTCAACTGCCGACCATTTACAAGCAACTGCTCAGGTCTAAGCTGATTCGAAGCACATTCCTTCTCCGCCTTCATTATCTGCTTAACCTCCAAAGGACTACAAACTTTCGACAAAATCCTCGAAGGCTTTCCCAAAATCGATCTCTTCGATTCATCTATAGCCTTCCCAATACAATTAACACATTTCCTCCCTTCTGGCATCGATCCCATTGCTTTAATCAAGCAATTATTACAATACTTCGCATCACAAACCAAACAGGCCTCTCTCTCCTTCAAACGACTGCGTTTCGAACACCTATTACAAACCCCTCCCCTCTTCTTCTTCCAAACAACCTTACTCTCCTTTGACTCATTCACCTCCTCTTCTTTCACATCCTCACAATCATCACCACCGCCAGAAAGCGGCGAAGAAAAATCATTAATCGAAATGTCGCCGTTTGTACAATCACGCGATTGCAATCCATCATCATCATTAGGAAATTTGACTTTGAGATTGAGATCAGTAAGCGAAGGTCTATTAAATCTAGAAAGTTTTCGAGTAATCTTGGGAAGCGAAAGAGGATTAAGATTAACAGGGTCAACTCTAGGAATATTGTTAAAAGGAAGAGGAGGACCTTCGTATTCGACGGCGATGGAGAAATCGAGTTGCTCTTCGTCTGGTAATGGCGCGCCTTCCGGTAACATTCTTCTCAGAACTTCCTCCCAAGTCTTCTCTTCTTCTTCTCCGGCTTTGGCCATTTCTGACTTCTTCTTCTTTCTTCTTTGTTGTTTGTATTCAGAGCGGAGGTTTGGAGTTTGGAGAGCAAAAGCGGTTTCAGTTCTACACTTCAAAAATGCTTTCAAAAATTTGTACACGTGGAGATGAGCGCTAGAAGTGGTTTTTTTCCTTTTTGCGAAAACTACTTTAACTACTCCGTGGAAAAAAATATATTTATTAATTTATTTTATAATAATATAAATAAAGTAGGGTGGTTTAAGAGTCTTTGTCACCTACAAAATTTAAGCTTTGAATTATCAGATGTTCAGACCAATATTCGAAGAGAATTATGTGCCTATCGCATTATCTCTAATTTACTCTAACTAGATGAATTACCTGTATATGGGTAATGTTTTCATATCAAAACATATAATCTTTATACTCAATATTATATTTTTGAATTCTTTTTATGTTAGAAAAGAAATTATTAAAGATAAAAACGAGAAAGAATTTTAATTATTAATGTAGAAACTAGGGTGAACTCATAAAAGAAGAGAATTTTAATTTTTTTTTTTTTTTTTTTTAAATTCTCTTATTACCATTATCATTTGTATATACAAAGAAGAATTTGAGCCTGAGATGAAATATCAGTTTTTGCTTAATTTGATTATATATAATAAAATAAATAAAAAAGCCATCAATTACTCAATATACTACATATGAATTATTTCAAATAAATATAACGTTGAAATAAATCAAAATCCTGTAAATTTCGTTCTGGAAACAAGAAGTCCTCTTTCCATAGTTGAAGCTTGAAGCATGAATATTACGGGGGAATGTTAGAGCCTTTGAGGAGGAATAAGAGAATAGAATCACCTAAAATTATCAAGAATGGAATTCGCGGTAGAGAAACTAAGGACTAACTCCAATAGTGTATTTGATAATTTTCAGTAGAATGTAAAATTCGTCAGTAGGACGGCAACACGTGCACTGATCCAATCGCAGGTGGCTGACATGCCGGAATCACAGAAGAGTGTCTCTCAATAGAAGCATCACCATCGCATGTAGCTTACACGTGTCTCATGATCACTAAAGACTTTCTCTCAATAGAAAGCGATGCTATACAACAGCTTCCGTCGATGTTGTTTCTCAAATGCAGCTACAATGTCATCAATGGATTCCTCCCAATTTTCAGTTTTTTCAATCTATACATAAACCATTGACAGTACATAAATGTTATGAATGATACACTGTAGGTAAATGTGAAAAACAACAGGATACAGAATACAGACCTCTTGGCAGAGATCTAAAGTGAGTCGGCCGCCTACGGCTGCTTCCTCGTGATTATCTTTCACCTCCAAGTTGATCACCAGCACACTTTTCATAAGAACCTGTTCCCTGTTGTGGAGATCTGCACATCATTATAATAGCCATATAAGCGACAAATCGGAAATCAATAGTTTTTTTTCACAGCAGCAAACAGATTTAAAACATTACTGTTTTTATGAAAACTCTATGGCGTTTCATAATCATCAAAATGACTTAGATGCCAAAATGCTCCTAATTATTTGCGCTAAAATGCCATTAAAAAAATCAGGGTCTTTTTTATGACAAGTCCGTTCAGTACTGGATTTCCTTTCCTCCAAAGACCTCATAGACAGGCAAATATTTTCAGATTCTTGCACAGCTTCCATCTCAAGAAGTCAGCTAGGATATCTTGCACTATGATCCACATAACCGAAGGCATAAAGAAACATGTAACAACTTATTTTACTCGTGATTGTGAGGTTAGATTGCCCAACATTAAAGAGTGGCAATCAGCCCAAATCATATAGCACGAGAGTTTCAAAGCTTATCTGCAAGAGTGGTCTCAATCATGAACTGCCAAACCAATAAAAAAGGTATGAAGACTCATGAATGTCCTATAGCTATCTTATCTTATCCCTTAAATGGAATCTAGATTTATATAATAAGCAAATAAATCCTAAAACAAAAACTCATATTGACCACTAAATTATCGATACAACTAGAACTAATTCATCAAAGCACAAGAAAAAATAATAAAAACTCAATATATAGATACAACAGCAGGAAAGAAATAGGAAAGTGTCTATGCCAACCTTCCAGAACCATATCAAAGACCTTTTCTTCAAATGAAAACACAATATCGAAGGAACCATCAAGAGCATTATCTTGCCAACGTTGAGGTGCCAGCTTCACAGATGAATTTCTCTTAAGCATAGGCAAAATACCATTACGCTTGTACCTATTCATCTCTTGTTAAGGTTATACTTCTTTAGCTTCAAATTCAAATGAATATCCATTTACAGTTAAAACACAGAAAGATGCCACTGGTTTTGAAATACGTTAAAAAACCTCAACTACAATTATGAAAATCATGAAAAAATGCTAAAAAGCACCAAAAACATTCCAAAAGTTACATAAGAATTTTGTTAAAAATCTCCTGCAATGAAGACAGTTCCTCCCACTTCAAAAAACTTAAGTACTGTACACTAAAAAATTAGTTCATTGAACTTCAAAATATTGAACCAATCCAACCCAGATACCAGAATAACCTTCAATTTTTTTTTTAAAAAAAGAAGGAATTTGAAAGAAGATAGATAAGTAAAATGAATTGAACAAAAGGATACAGTTCTGGATCTTTGCGGCGGAGATCATCAAACATCTGCTTGTACGGGGTTCCAAAGTCATAGACGTTAGGTTCTCTGAGTGAAGGTCCCGGAAGCTTAACATGAGCCCCAGTCCCATACGATGACACATCAAAGCCCTGTCTCTTGAGGAGCGAGTGAGCCTCCATGCTTCGGTTCTGGTTAGACGAGCATACCATAGCATACCGAAACTTCATGGTGCCTGCAATCTCTTATCCCAAGGTTCTCAACCTTATTATTCAATCACTGACTACTCACTGGCATTGCCTTCTCTCCAATCTGTCAATCCAAATTGTTTTTCAAGTTATTGTTCCTTTAATTGCAAACCTAAAATTTATAGGGACGGCGAAAGGTTAAACTGGTTAATTTGGCTTCACTCGCCACTTGGTTTTCCTGTTGGTTAGAACTGAGCAATTGATGTGTAGAGCTTCATTGGTTTCAAGCAGGAATGGCAAATTCCGCGGCCGAAACCATGTATGACATACAAATTAAATTTCATTTAGAACTATCTACATAAATATGTTCAACTTGAGTTCATCCTTTGAAATGCTAGCAAACAAGCAATAAATTTCTTCATCAAAATGAAAAACCAATTGCATAATATCCTATAATTAGAGAAATCCAAACAAATTTCATAAATTCTGATAACTCATGAAAATTAATGAGTAAACATCACTCGAGTTTATCCATATACAACAAAAAAAAGTGACCAAATGAATATATACATTTTTTTATTTTAAAAAATAAAAACTGAAAAGGGAAACAATATAATTAACCTGTTGAAACTTGAACTGGCAGTTGCTGGAGCAAGAGGATGGAATCAACTGCCGGAAATCTCGCCGGCGTCTCGTCTGAGGTTGCAGCGGCTTTCTTAAACGTAGGTGGCGCTCGGACTTTCGTGGTAGCTTGCCGGCTTCCTTCAGTCGGCGGTCAGATTGGTTGTCGGCAGCTGCGGTTGAATGACCCGTGGAGTTTAGTCGACTTAGTAAATAGTTTCTGAAGGAATAAAAAGCACCCTAACGTTTTTCTTGATTACGAATAGGTTCTAACTTATGATTTTTTCATAAATTACGCCTGCAATTATTTATAACCCTTATCTTTGATAAATTTAAAATACAAAAATAATACATTTATAACCCAATCTCACAACTCTAACGAGGCAGCGGCGTTAGCACCACTACGTCAATTGCTGATTTTGACTAAATATGAACAATCATTCCTTAGAGACGAACGATTATTCATTCATAAGGATTAGTCATTCCTTATAAAAGAACGGTCGTTTATCCCTGAGAAATGATCGTTCATGTTTAGTCAAAGTTATTTAATGTGTTAGGTGTGGTGAGAGTTGAAGTGACAATCAGGGATGGATCTAAAAATTTTTGTTAGGATGGGCCAAAATAAAAACTAATTGTATATTAATATTTCTGTTATGGTGGGCCAAAATCCAAAAATTGTACATATTAATATACTTTTTTAAATTTGAGGGTGGACTACTATATTTACCCACGATAATAGTTGTCAATTCAACTATCATGTTGAAGTTATAAGAGAAGGTTGTGAAAGTAATATTACTCATTAAAATATTATACATATTAAGATAACTATGTAATGTGGGCTTCAAGAGCCAGCTCAGCCCATAAACAAAGGTAGATATTAAAGAAGAGAGAAACGTGACGCCACAAAAGATTGTTCCACTCAAAATGAGACGCGTCACGCGTGAGCCTCTAAAACCTGGAACTTAAACTTGGAGAGTCAAGGTCACCACAGCCACCAGCTAGCCACGGCCCACAGGTTTACTAAATGGAAAATTCTGAACATACGAGCCTACACGTAAGCCCAAATGGGCCCACCTCTCTAACCCAGAGATTTCCCCACGCTTCCTATACCATCGTCCCTTTCTCCCTACCAATAAAGATCTTCTAACTGCTTTTCGATTACCAAAATACCCCTACTCTTTTCTCCTTTTCTCTTCTTACATTTTAAAACTAAAAAACAAGTGATTGAAGGGGTTTGGGTGAAATTGTAAACTAATTTATAATTTATTTCGTAATCTTGATATTCAATGGGTGATTACATTCTAAAATCACTAAAAATAAATAAATAGCTATGATATATAGACTTTACAACATAACTTGATAGGTTAAATAAATAAAAAATCCGATCATGTTAACCGTGACATCCTCATTGAACTTGGGAGTCAGGGGCTCCAAAAAGTATTTCAAACTTATCGAGTAAGACATCCTTGTCAAATTTTGGGGCTTGGGGTAAGGGGTGAAGGGAAATGATGCTCGAGAATAGAGCATTTCAAGGTGGAACGAGTATTACATTTTTTTAAAAGAAAAAAAAAAAAAAAAAAAAACTGCCAAGCTTAATGAAACTAGAAAAATATACGTGGATTAGATTTACCTCTAACTTATTCACATTACGTTCATGATAAGAACGGTTGATCAAAGATTATGAAAACATAGAAAACCAAAGGTATTATGGTACTTAATTAAAATAATAGGGGCATTTTGGTCATGTAAGGTTAATACAACGTTTATCACAACTTGTAATCTACCTATAAATTAAAGTCCGCCAACCTAACAACTCCAGCTCAAGAATCATATCTAAATCTCAATAAAACTTCTCTCTTTTTGTCTCCTGTTCTCTCTGTACATTACATACGCTAGGGTTTGTTTAGCTTAGTTTCTCTCCCTCCTTATTAGCTTCGTATATACAGGTACTCTTCTTTATATTTGATCGATGAATCATCTGTTTTTTTTTTTTTTTTTTTTTGGTTAAATATTGTATGTTTGTATTTTGCAGAAGAGTTAAAGATGGAAGCAGCCACATCAAGTGTGGTTCGATCTTCAATCGGCGTCAATAGACACTCCGGTTCTTTTGCTAGATCAGCTGTTTTGTCTGCTAACGGTCCTGATTTTGTGCGTTTCGCTACTAGTTTACACCCGCCAATTAAGGTATTAAATCTTCTTTCGTTTTTCAGTTTTGTTTTACGAAATTTAGAATCCATTGAATAGTGGATTGTTTTTAGAGTTAAAAGTTATTAAGAACTAAGAAAACTGTTTCCAGGAAATGAAAGTTTTTGTGGTTTTTTTTTTTTTTTTTTTCAAAATTTAATTGTTTAGAACACTGAAAATGATTCAGAGGAGTTTTTGAGTTTAAAACTAGCTTTGTAGAATGAATTTGTTTTCCAAAATGATTCAGAGGAGTTTTTGAGTTTAAAACTAGCTTTGGAGAATGAATTTGTTTTCCAAAGTTTCGAACACGCTTTGTGAATTAGAAAATTTGCTTCAAAATAGAATGATTATAACCCAATTTCATGCTCTTTAAATGTAATTAGAGTTGTCGGGATTACTTTTATAATGAATTGATTTGCTTTGTTTTGCAGAACCGAGCCACTTGTTTATTGTTATAGTCTATTTATGTGTGTAAATATGTTTTCACTTTCACTAATAGAAAAAAAAATTTTAAAAAAGAATCGTACACATTGGATAAGCTTTTTAGATTTTCTGAGAGTGTGTATTCTACAAAAAAGGGCTAAAAAACGCCTTGGAAAAGCGCTTGGTAGATGCTTTTCAGAAAGCACTTCCAACTTTTAATGGTATCGAAAGCATACCCAAGCACAATAGAAAATTTTCATTTTTTTTGCTTGGTAGGAACACATTGATGTTTATTTGCTGATTCATTTTTTTTGAATCTATTTACTGCAGCAATATTCTTCAGTTTCATACTCAAAGCCAATGCATAGGAGAATGGGTATCGGAAGTAGGAGATGCACGGCCATTAGAGCGTCTTCATCTCCAGACTCCACTGGGTCGATTGCCCCAATTGCTCCACTTCAGCTGGAATCTCCTATAGGACAGTTTTTGTCTCAGATCTTGATGAGTCACCCGCATCTTGTTCCTGCAGCAGTTGAGCAGCAACTTGAGCAGCTTCAAACCGACCGTGATGCTGAGAAGAAGGAAGAACCTTCTGCTTCTGGTACCGACCTGATTTTGTATAGGTTAGTCGCATATCTTTCTACCTTAATTTACTTGTCAAAAGGAAAATTAGAAAAAAATTAAAAAAAAGGGTAAAAATTTTCAACCATTAAAAGTATGGAAAGTAAATAAACCTTACGGAAAATATAAGCATGTACTTTGTTTTCTATTTCGAGATGACCATGTAGAACTCAGTACAATAGATGTGGTTCAAAAGTAAAATTTCTTCAAGTATGGACTCATACAATAGATATGAAGCAAAGGTTTGGAAATGAACATGTTACATTGGTTTTTCCTTATGTCATACTTTATGATTGTATAATCTTAGTCTTTGAGAACTCTAGAGATAATACTACTATCGAGTCATTGACTAAACCAAAATATCCTAAATTTGAAAAAAGTAGGATTTGTATTGTACCTTTGCACATAAATGTGTCCATAACTCTTGAATTACTACTACAAATTAAAAATTTTAAGCTTAAACTAATAATAACTCGGTATTCAAAATCAATGTAAGCTATGGGGACCTCATATAATAAACACCCTAAATTACTAACACTAATTAGTTAAAAGTTTATAATATCTATTGGTTGCATCACTATGCTCTCCACATGATAGCTATAATTTATGTATTTTATATGTGATGTGTTGAATCTGATGAATGGTTTTTCAAATTACCAGGAGAATTGCTGAGGTGAAGGCGAATGAAAGGAGAAAGGCTTTAGAAGAGATTTTGTATGCATTGGTTGTGCAGAAGTTCATGGATGCTAATGTTTCTTTGATACCTTCAATTGCCCCCTCTTCTTCAGATCCTTCTGGTCGGGTGGACACATGGCCAAGCCATGATGAGAAGCTTGAGCAGCTTCACTCTCCTGAAGCCTATGAGATGATCCAGAACCACCTAGCTCTCATTCTTGGGAATCGGTTGGGTGACTCAAACTCTGTTGCACAGATAAGCAAACTAAGGGTCGGACAGGTCTATGCAGCTTCAGTGATGTACGGGTACTTCCTAAAGCGTGTTGATCAGCGGTTTCAGCTTGAAAAGAACATGAAAATTCTTCCAAATGCATCGGATGAAGAGACTACTGTTCAGCACCGGGTGGAGGACGTGAGACCAGCTGGTGAGGGATCTTATGAAGCTGTCTCTTCGCACCCTGAAGTCTCAGCCTGGGCTGGTGGCGTGAGTCCTGGAGGGTTTGGCAAGGGGATAAAGGCTTCTCGGTTGCGGACCTATGTGATGTCTTTTGATGGTGAGACACTTCAGAGATACGCAACTATAAGATCCAAAGAGGCTGTTAGCATCATTGAGAAACACACTGAGGCACTATTTGGAAGACCAGAGATTGTTATTACACCTCAGGGTACTGTTGATTCTTCAAATGATGAACTCGTCAAGATCAGCTTTGGTGGTTTAAAAAGACTCGTTTTGGAGGCTGTGACTTTTGGTTCGTTCCTCTGGGACGTTGAAAGCTATGTGGATTCGAGGTACCATTTTGTCATGAATTAAACTATGTTTTCACCTTCAACCATGCTAAAACAAAGTTCGGCCTATATTCACAAACTGACCAAACTGAAATTTTATAGCTGAGGTGTAGTTTTGATAGCAAGTACCAAATAATTTGTGCTAATTGGTTTGTATATAGTTGCTATAGTACAATTTGCTGCTTGAATTTGTGCTCTTACGGTTATGCTTCTTTTCATATGAAATTTACATAACATCCTGGATCATATGTGTTACAAGTTTCTTCAATTCAGTAAGTCTAGATGAGGAGCGGATCCAAATTATTCTATTAAGTGAAAACACTGTCATTACATATTCATAATCATTACATTGCAGAATTGAGCTGCTTGAATAGATTTAAATTGTGTAGAGCTCTACCAAAAACATCATAAAATATGATCCTTGCTTCAGCCTCTGTGAGTTGTATAGACATGAACCCCTGACCATCATAATAAAATCTTGTTCCATTTCGGTTCCTTTTATCAATCTCACCTTTCCATGCCTTTGATCCTCCTCCACTAGTCAAGAATTGAATTGGGCTGCACAAATCCACAAAGAATTTGTATTTGTTATTCAAAATCAAATTATGCTAATATTTGTATATTATCGTAAAATCTTCATAGGTTGAACGGATGTATGTATATTTGTTCAATACACAATACATGACCTAGAAGCGTCATGTAACTAGACGAGCAAACATGTTATTGTCCCACTTGCGACTTTTTCTACATTTAAAATTACCTTCTAGTGCTACTTATATGTTGCAAGCAATGGTCATGGCCATTTATGTACATATCAGCATTGTTGGCCTGAAATTAGAGCTAAACATTTATTAGAGAAAAGTGACAATTTAACTTAGAACAATTTTTTTTTTTTTTTTGTTCCTCAAAAGCCTAGAGAAATTTAAAGTTACCTCAAGTATTGGTAGAAGGTGTTGTACTAGCTCCTTGGTGTCAGCATGATGCCCAATGCTTCTAATAGTATGATGCCCAACCACAATCTTCCAATTTGCAGCTGATTTCCTCATTGCTAATTCTACATCCTGGTTATATATAGGTTTAAGAGTCAATATAATACGTGTTTCAGATTGGTTGAATGTATGTATATCTGTCACACGAATGGGTGTATACATTCAATCAATCAGAAACTTATATGTTAATATGAATGTATGTCTTACACTCTATGATTGATCGGATGCATATGTATATGTTGTATCGAAGATTTTCTCGAACGATGGAAGTAACTTACCCGTAAAAGTTTTGTGAGATATTTCTTCCTGGGAATTATTCCTCTCCAATCATAAGTGTGTTTGTTTGGCTTCAAGAAGTACTTATCCACGAATGGAGTTGTGTCCACAAAGAAAAAATCAGCAATTTCTAAGGGAGAAAAATGGTTTCAATCATCAGCATTTTGATGAATTGCGAAAGAAAAATCATATGAAATTGAATGCAATTGGAACCCTCTTTCACCTGTTTGAACAACAAAATTTCTCAGGCAAAGCCATCGGGAGTCCATCATCCTCAAAATTGGGCTCAATTGGGCCTCCACATTGCCCCTGTAATCATGGTTGCCTAATACTAGAACCACACCATGGTTATTTTTATAAAACATGAGAAGGGTCAAAACTATGGAAATTGGTAGAATGTATACTATAAATGTTCTTAAAAAATGATCGTAGAGAAGTGGAAGTTACTATTATACCCTTTCTTTTGGTAACACAATTTTGGTATCGTTGATTTTGTAAGAGAGTTGAAATAATGGGTATTTTTGAGTCGTAACGATATCCCAATGGATAATAGTTCAATCTTTGATTCAAATCCAAATGTGACAATTAGGGGTAACATAATGTTATACTCTAGATATATAACATTTAGGAGGGTAACATTACCTTCAACATCACCCTTAGATCTTCGTGCCTAATCGATCACTTTTGGACTAGAATCTAAGTGTTATAATAAGAAAATAATGTTTAAACGTCCTCGTTAAATAACATTTTTATCCTTTGACCTTAATCTAAGAGTTAATCTGAACTCTTTAGACCATGATCTGAAAGCTATGACAACGAATTAACGTTACACTCCAGTAACATAACATTTTTCTCATTGAAAAATCAAGTTGAACTTACCATTATACCATTGCTTTTGGAGACTACTAGCGGTGTAGATTTGAGTAAATGACTCTTGAAATAATAGGTCATTTATGCTTTTCAGTCCATCGTCGTAGAAATTGTCTCCGGTTGACGCCACAAAATCTATATTTAAATCTTCTCCAATCCTTCCCATCTACAACACAAAATTTATAAATTTTTTTTTTTCAAGATTAATTTTCAAATGTATTTAAAAAAATAAAAAAAAAAAAACCTGAAATGCAACTTGAGATTGATTATAAGCTCCTCTTCTTCCCCAATCTCCAATGACCAAAAAGCTAAGAGACCCATCAGCTTTAACAGAGTGTTGAAACTGCCAAAGCTCAGCTGACGATAATGGAAGAAAGCCAAAGCAGAAGCAGAAGTAAAAGCACTTTTCCGGCAAGGACAAATAATCTAGTGAAGCCATAGACTGCAGAAATGAAAGTTTTAACATACACAAATTTGCATTATAATAATTTGAGTACAGAATTTTCTGACCTCCCAGACAATAAATAAATAAATAAATGATGGGTCACCATCATCTTGTTTTCCTGGAAACTTCCTCTTGTTGTACCAAGTTTTGGCTTTTATTCATTATTTAACCCCTACAAAATTCTTGGACAAGGTTAAAAGATTTTCAATCAATGAGTCATGCTCAGAGTTTTCAAATTTATGATTTAGTTTGGTTGAGTTTTTTTTTTTTTTTTTTTTTTTTTTCTTCCACTTCTTCCAGAGTGTTTAGACCAGCTTACACATACTTTGATTGATTTTCTGAAACTCTGAAGTTAACAAGTAAGTAAACCCTCCCAGACAAAACAAAAACATCGTTATGAAGATAAACCCTCCAAAGATCACTCCTATTAACAATTGAAAGGAATCAAACTCAAAATTTTTTAAGTAATACACTCAAGAGTCTTTATCACCTTATCTGACCACTCAGAAGTGATTGGTTAAGTATATTTATTTATTAAAAAAATATTATAATGTTGGTCCCTCTTTTTAGAATTGTAATTTATATATTATTAAATAAATTGATTATTGTACATCGTAAATTTTTCGAAATTTAAAAAAAAAATAATTAATTCCCACAAAATTATAATTCAGAATATTGAGTTTTTTTATACATCTATGAAGAAATCACTCCAATATCATTTATCAACACTCAAATCTTTAACAATCATAATCAAATTCTACTTCCTCTTAACCCTAACAAATCTTTCATCCTACATTTACCAATTGAGAAGTCTTCAAGAATACAACGTTTGTACATCCGTTCATTCACGTGCGCCAACATGATCTATGGTATTAACTTGATTAGGCCTAAGCACATCTTATACGAGACTTTTCCTCAAACATCTTACCTTGATTAGACGAATGCACATTCCATTGGAGGCTTTTTGTCGAGCGGACATGACCTATAATCCTATACTTAATTGAATGGATGCACATCCTATGAGAGATTTTTCGTTGCATGGCATCAATACTATATTGATCGAATCGGTGCACATCCTATTGAAAAATTTTCGTCTATAATAAAAACTGAGGTCGTCGGATAAATTATATAGATGAATGAAGCTCTTTCTTTGTACTCCATTTATGCAAAACTTCACCAAAAACGTCATAAAACACAATTTTTGCTTCTGATCGATTCAACTCCACGGACATAAACCCTTGCCCATCATAGAAGAATTGTAACCCATCTCTGTTTTTTTCTTTAACATCTCCCCTCCATGCCTTTGATCCTGCTCCACTAGTTAAAAATTGTATGGGGCTGCAAAAACAAGTTTTTCGCATTTTACCCCCTTAGATTTCATCAAATAACAATTCCCCCTCAATTTAATGAAATTAATTTTTACCTTTCTTTGTCACTGAAATGCTCAAGGCAATGGTCATGTCCATTCATGTAAAAATCAACATTGTAGGTCTGAAATTAATTATAAAAAAATCAACAGAGTTAGAATCAAATCAACGGTTGGAATTTGATCTCATTTTTTGCTTGAAATTAAATAAAATTAAATAATTAATATTCACCTTTAGAAGTGGAAGAACACGTTTTATGAGCTCTTCAGTGTCTCCATGGTGCCCAATGCTTCTAATTGCATGGTGACCAATCACAATCTTCCACTTGGCACTCGACTTTCTCAATGCTACTTCTAAATCCTAAATTCATATAAAATAATAAAAATTAGACAAAAAATATATAAATTTTGATAATATCAAATCGACGTGTTAATAAATCTAGAAAAAAAAAATTACCTTTAATAAATTGGCGGTATAAGGCTTTCGAGATTTAACACCACGCCAATCATAAGTATGACCCTCTTCATTAGTGAAGTACATTTTGACAAAAGGGGTGGTGTCTATAAAGAAAATCTCAGCCAATTCTGAAGAAATTAGGAGAAAATAGTTAATTAATTAATTACTGATTAATTGTAATTTAAATTAACAGAGAAAATTACTTGCCTGCATTCACAATAAAAGATCTTAAGCAAAGCCATCTTGTATCAATTTTCCTTAGTATTGGGCTTAATTGGGCCTCTGCATCTCCTCTATAATCATGGTTGCCCAAAACTGCACAAACAAAAAAGCAATATAATTACCATTAAACCCTCAACCCTAAATCCCACAAATTTATAATTATATTAAATATTAATATAAGATGGTCAAAGCAAATTAACAAAATTTTTTGTCAAATGGGGGTTGGTAATTGGTATGTAGGTCGGTCCGGGTTGGTATGTAGGTCGGTCCGCCCATGATGCTACCCTCGTGTTGTAGTAATGTTACCGTAGTGGTAAGACATTTGATTGCCTCCTAAAAGAGGGGCAATCCAATGCAATGACCCATTATGGTACTGTTATTTAGATAAGGTAACGTAACCCCAATAGAATAAGTGTTTTAATTAACTAGTTAATTAAATAGGGGTAGTGAAGTGAGAAATTACCGCTGTACCACTGCTTTTGGAGGCTTTGAGCTGTATAAATTTTGGAGAATGATTCTTCAAAAGCTGGATCATCTTCCCCACTCAATCCATCGTCATAGAAATTATCTCCAGTTGAAACTACAAAATTTATGCCCAATTTCTCCCCAATTCTCCCCATCTGCATTTAATCATTTCTCACTATAAATATTAACACATAATCGTAAACAAATAAGAAAAATATTTTAAATATTTTCTTATTCTAATATCGTGATTGAACAGACACATATACGTGTAAAGTTTTAGACCAAAAAAAAATTGCATATATGTCTAATATAAACATTTTAAACTGTTAAAAATTAATTTATGTTAAATACGTTATGATGTATATATGTGATTTGACTTCGTAACCGTTACTATACATGGAAGAACTTAAATAAAAAAATATAAATGTTCATGAAGAAGAAGATAATAAATAAATAAATTAATTAATTAAAAAAACCTGAAAAGCAACTTCAGATTGATTGAATTCCCCTCTTCTTCCCCAATCTCCAATCACCAAAAAGCTAAGCGATCCATCACCATTAATGGACTGTTCAAATTTTTCAAGCTCTGCAAAACCAAACCCTGAACACAAAAGAAAGCTCAAAACCAGGCACAAATAAGCCATGTTCCTTCTACACAAAACCGCCATGAAAGCTTCTCTTTCTCGCTCTCTCTGTAGTCTCAGCCTGTTATATGCTATCTATATAAATCGTTCTACAAGACAAAGACAAAGAGTTTTACGTAACCCACATGAAGGTGGGGGTGTAAGTGAAAAGAATCCACAGTTTTGATATATAATATGTATATATATAGTTGAGTCAATTATTGGTGTACCAAATTCAGCAACAGCCAGTAGTATTAATGGGTATAATTATGGCCCAGCTGTAAGAGGGCGAAGTTGAAGGAATAAGGATATGCGAATATGCCACAGAATCAGTGCGGGGATAAATTCTGAAATTCTTTAGAATATTCCATGGCTTGTAGTAGTCACGAGAGCTGCCGCCTCAAGTTCGGTACCCTTCAACGTTCAACTGTTTACGATTTTGACCCCGATTCTGTCAAACAAGCCATGCGTATTATTGAGGCTGCGTGTCTTTCGTTTTTTCCAAAATACTCTATTCTTTTCCTTAAAAAAAATTGCATAATTATTTCCTTATTCTCAAAATCATATCCTATAATATTTAACTTTTTAAACCTTTATAAGTTTATTAATTTAACTAAACACCCTCAATAAAAAAAAAATTATAAATTGATAAAAATACTCTTACTTACCCACATTTGTCAGATTTTGACAACCACTGCAGAAAAGTGGCCAGAATATAACATAATGGCGTACTATCAATTAGATTTAGCCAATAGTACGATGATCTGGCATTTTCCAGCCAGATCCACGACTAAAGATCTGACTATTGATGACCAAATCTTTGGCCACATTTTGTCGTCAATGATGGCTAATATATAGCCATCGTTGACCGTCAACGACAACCAGATCTAGCCGTCAACAGCCAAATCAGCGCATATCGATTAGATCCAGCCGGTAGTATGCTATTACGCCAGATTCTAGCCACCTTCTAGCGATGGTTGCCAAAATTTGACAAATGTGGGTTGGTGGGGGTGTTTTTGTCAATTTATAAACTTTTTATTATTGTGAGTGTTTAGCTAAATTAACAAACCTAAAGGTTTTTTTTGTTAATTTTTAAATCATATCTCGTAATAATAACCAAACTCAACTTAACAATAATATTTCAAAAATTCTACTTAAAATAATAAAACAAATACACTAGATGACTTCACCAACCAACTAACACATATAGGTCATGAGTATTGATAAATGATATCTCCATGTATAGCAGAATAACTCAAATAATTGACCAATTACGAGCTACCATATCAAGATTATATAAAAAAATTGTAAGTGTAGTGCTGTTTTAACTCAAAATACTAATAAATTCAATTGTAAGTTGAAATTACAATTTTGCCCATGGTCGTGATCGATCTAGTACGTGCAAGTCATATGTGTTGATGTGGTTTGCATGTATTAGATGACTGCGTCGATCAAGTGACAAATGTAGTTTATGAGTACTAATTGTCATGGTCTATTTGTATAGAATAAACGTATATGTATATGATTCGTACAAGATGTTTTTATTTTAAAACTTTAGTGGAAATAATTGGCTCTTATGAAGTCTACCTATATTGGATTGGGGTATGCAAATCAAGTGCACCACTATGCTTATATATAAGATTAAATTATCAAAAAGATTTTTAAGTAATATTAAATATATATGATTTTTTGTTTTGATTATGATCTATGTTAGACGTACACAAAAGTCTTATAAAAATTTTTGTGTAAAATGATGTGGCAAAAAATAAATGAAAGAGTTAATACAAAAAGTCAAACTCATCATATTTACTATTCTATTTATTTCCTGTCACATCATTTTGTACATAAATCTTTGTAAAATTTATTTGTACGTCTAATATTATTGTTTGATTAATTGAAAAAAAATTTATTAATAATAAAGGAGTTTGGGTTCTCGTACTTAAATCAAATTTCAGTTGACGATTGCACTTAAATAAAAAGAAATTGATAAAACACGAATACGACACGACACGAAACTTTTAAGAGTAATACTATAATAACAACCCTCTCTCACAAACTTTATCTCACAACCCTGATGTGACAGCTTGTAATTAATTAGTGGGACTTATGCAAGACCTGTGTGAGACCCGTTATGAACTAACTAATTGTAAGCTATCACGTCAGGGTTGTTGGTGTAGTATTATTAAACTTTTAAACATGACTTATTGTTAAGTCTATTAAATGGCTCCATATAGTAATTGGGCCAACCATCTTTCATGGGTTTAACTTGTTCAAGATTGTGAGAGGCCCAAAAACATTATCAAAAGGGCAAAATAAAAGCCCATTTGTAAGACCAAAACCAAATGATCCAAACAAAAAGGTACTGGAATTAGCTTTGGCTAAAGTTAGCCTTTCTTGACTGCTAAAAATTATCAACTACGTATATTTCTTTTTCATTGGTGGGGGCTGTTTGTACTATTTGTCAAATATGTGGACCATGTTGATAAAAAGTCAAAGACACGTGATAATTCTTTTTATGGTAAATGAAGTTTAATTACCCTTTTATCCTTTTAAGGATTGAGTTGCTTGGGCATGATATTTGGTTATTCATACATATCTTTTTTTGAGTATCGGATTTCAAATTAATTCACTTCGATAGTTATTTTTATGTTACGATTTTGAGTCGGCTTGTTTCATAATTCAACAAATGCAATGTATTCAGAAAACAATATTCTCAGAGGATAACATCATCCTCAAACTCAACTATTTTGATCAATCCAATTGAATGGTTAAACTAAAAGTAAGGACAATACTCGAATACAATCCTACATCTAGATCTATAATTTCGTACACGAATAAAACCCTACATCTCGATCTATAATTCCGAGTATTTAACATGGGTAAAATGGTCAACTAGATGTTAAAGGTAGACCCACATATTTTTTACTTTTCTTATTAGTCCAATATAAAGTGAAAATGAGTACCAAATCCCATCAATGTGAAAGGACACGCATTGTCTAAATGGTGGGTAATATAATATCCAAAGCTTGGGAATCGAATAAAGACATACTTTTTTTTTTTCTTCTAAGTATAAAAACTGTCGGCTAATAATATTCAATTGCAATAGTTCACAATATTCCATTCTTCTCCTTTTAATTTCATCACTTTGCCAACTAACAATTCTAATTCTTTCTATTTTGTCCCTAATCTTTTCAATAAAATCTCGTCTCCTTTAAACTATATCGAGGGAAGAAGAAATATTTGCATGAAAGAAAACTGTCTTAAATAAAATTTTTAACAACAAGAAAAATATAACATTCAATCCATTATGTTATAAGTTGTATTTGTCAAACATCGTCAATTTGATAGATTGTTATGATATATATATGTGGTTGTAATCTCTTCTCCATTAAACTAGTTTTTGGGAGTGAGTTTTACGTAAGCTTATGCACGTTTCTCAAATATAGTAAAAAAAATAAAATTTTATACTTTTTTCAACATAAACGTGTGATTTTAGGGTATACTCGTTGAGATCGCTCAAATAACATTACGATATATGAATTAACGTGACGTCATTTTTTAAAATAAATGATAATAATCATACAACTATAAGAAATTAGGATTGTATTTGTTTTATTATTTTGAGTAGTATTTTTGAAAAAGTATAATTTGGTTGTTATTACAAGGTAGGATTTGAAAATTAACAAAAACACCCCTTAGATTTGTTAATTTAATAAACACTCATCACAATAAAAAGATTATAAATTGACAAAAACACCCTCACCCACCCATATTTGCCATATTTCAGCCACCATCGTCGGAAGGTGTCTAGAATATGTCGTAACGATGCACAACTAGCTGGATCTAGCTGGTCGTGTGCCAATATGGTCTTTTTTTACCAGATCCACCATGGATCTGGCTCGAAAAGGTTAGATGTGACCACATCTGGTTATCAACAACGACCATATTAACTGATGATTATATATATATATATATATATATATATATATATATCTGTTCATGGTCGGGTAAATATAATGAGTACAAAAACAAAATAAAATAAAAAATTTCTTATTAAATAAAAAATTTCTTATTAAATTGAATTTTTTTTAAGTCTATTGTTGAATCACAATTAATGCATAATTAAGTGTCTTAAAAGTAATAAAATATTTAAAAACCGTCTTCTTTTAATATTTTACTTAATGTAAATAGTTGATCTAAATATGTATTACTCTTATAAAATGTCAGTATAAATAATAATTTGAAAAAAAATATCATTGTATTATAAAATAAAAAGACTATATATTTATATTATATAATAAAGTAGATTTAATTAATTTACCAAATCTTGACTCAAATTGAGCCGACGTGGCGTGATGTAACCCATCAATTTACAAAGGCAGATAAAAGTTAAAAGTGAATATTAATTTTACGTCAAAATTTTGTTTTAATTATTCCTCTTTTATGCAAAATCAACACCCTTTTCAGAAGCACTTTTGTGAAAGCGCATTTATGAAAGCCCGTTCATTTTTTTGGGGAAAAGGAAAGTTTGAGTAAAGAAGATGAATTTATTTATTTATTTTTAATAATTAAAAAAGCCATAAAAATTAATTAATTGCTAGGCTAAAGTCTACGTCTAATATATCCAATAACCCACGTGACAAGTGATGTGAAAACTCAGTCTCAACATTACATTTCATCAATTAAGGAATGTGTTATCTCACTTGGGGTAAGGTTGCCCCTTTTTCGACAATTGTCGACCTATCAATTCTTAGATTGTGATTCAACATTATCATTTAAGAAACATATTATAGATGGTTTAGTCGTTAATTAGAATTTGTGGGCATATTACTCAAGAGGTCTTAAGTTTAATCTATTTGGATTGTTAATACGGGTGATTATTGAGGAGATTTATATGATTGCTAACTTCAAGATGCGTGCAAAACCCGCGGTCAACAAAAAAAAAAAAAAATTATCCTAACACTTTAAATAATGGTATAGCGAAGAACATCAATCCATCTGAACCATTAGAGCATCTCTAATGGTGCTCTTTATTTTAAAGAGTATTTTTATTGATTTTTAAATATAAATAACAAAATTTTTATTCAAATCCAATAGAATCTTTAAATTTTAGGAGAGAGAATATGATTTTTTAAGAAAGAACTTAATAAGAGAGATGAATCATAAATAAAATATATAGAAATTTGTAATTTATTACTTAAAATTAAGATAGAGAGTGAA